TCAAATCTGGATATCCGCGGATATCCTTATTTTTGGTCGGATATCTATAGTCCGGATATCCGGAGGTCACGATTCCGCATCCGGATAGTTTTTCCACGGATCCGACGATTGTGGATCCGGATCCGGATACTCTGAAATTCAAAGATAGTCAGAATCATCCCACCCCTATCCGAGATGACAGATATCCAGAAATTCAAAGATATCCATTAAAAACAAAAATCGATATTAAAAAAACCTACTAAAATGAAAATTCCTTAAAGTTATACTCTATATATTAACTGAGGAGACACTAAGGTGAAAATCATATGTGTCACTCAATGGGGATTTTAAGGAACATTTTATTCAAATTAACCAATGAGAACATTTAATTATAACTATATGCCATGATAGAAATCTCTATATATTATTATTAGTTTTATAACATAAACCTATTAATACATGTTTCACAAATCTAAATCCAACTTAATGTAATATTTAAACTTACCATATCGTCTTTTATATATATTAAGAAGCTTTTTATTATATTTGTAACAATATTATTTATTGTTTATGTATGAATTTAGATTAATACAATATATAAAAATGTTGTAACTATGATAATCAATTATATATATATATCTAACTACACTTACAAATATTTACACATTTCATTATTGGAGATATATATATATATAGTTATTTATTTATTATGTCCGACAAATTAATTTAAATCTAAAATTTATCTTATTTATACTCTATAATTTACACGAATAATAACAATCAATTTTACAATTAGAATACATTAAAATAAATAACATTTACATATATTTTGATCAATTTTGCACATAAAAATATTAAAACTAATGGCATCAAATTATGGTTGATCAAAATTTAATTTTATTACATTTATGCATACTGCATATCAAGTTGTATGTTTATAAATATTAGAAATCATATACTTTGTCATACACGTTTAAATATTAAAATCGACTAAAAGCATATTTAATTATTTAATCTCACGTTTGGCGTGTGTCAATATCTAGTGAGTTTATGAAATACAAAATTTGTTTATGGATTTTGAATAAACAAAATAAATGAAAATGTTAATGTGGCATATAACTATCGAATGTTTTAAATACTATGTCCATATACCACTATATTACACTTTATTTTAGTTACAAATAATAATAACAAAAAATTTTGTAATTATATATGGTTTTTTGTTTATAATTAGGACATTAAAAGTAAGTAAATTTCCTCATCTATTGTATCTAAAATTGAAATAGGAAATTAAATCCAAAAAAATGGAAACTACTTAAAGTTATGAGTTGATGAAATAAGGAAATTATGTTTTAATTTGCTATTAACAACACCAAAAAAAATTAACTTAATTCTAAATGTTAACGTGAAACGTTACTATTGGTTGATTTAAATCATATGTAGACAGCTTTAAGAGCTAATAGCCTCAACTTTTATATAATATAGACTAAAAAATGATCCGAGCTACACCCGTGTATGTTTTATAGATTTGTTTGCTAATGGTACCATGAGAGTTTTTTTTGGATTTTTGAATTAATATCAAATATAAAATAGATAAATTGATATTTTTAACTTTAAGTGTTTGGGTTGTTTAAAATTTATAATTTATTCATATGAAATATATACACAAAATAAGTAAATAATTTAGTTATTGGCGACATGAATTTTTTGATTACCATTTAACTCATCTTTTATCAA